AACAGGAAACAGAAAGAGGCTCATCGGATGCGATATATTATTTTTCCCGCGCCGCCACTACCGAAGTTTACCTGGAGTTTTCGGATCATCCACCGTTCTTTATACTCCGATTTGGCCATAGAGGTGTTCAAAATCAAATTTCGAGCAAATAGAAAATTTTTTATCTTTGGTGGCGGTCGGAGGTTGCTCTGGCGTATCGGCAGTCGACTCCCTTCACCGGTGACTGGTTCTTCTTCTCCGGTGGGAGACTAACGGCTAGAGTTTGGGTTCGGTATAAAGTGAGATATTTATCCTCGTCTCTCTTAAATCTAGGCTGTTAATTGCGTTTGATCTCGACCGTCCGATCGCGTTTAAAGAGAAAATAAATAACACTATTTATCCTGATTTGATATCGACTGTGCGATCGTGTTTAAAGAGGGAACGAATCAGGGCCATTCATCGTGTTTAATTCCGACCGTCCGATCGCGTCTAAGGAGGGAACAAATCCGAACTGTCCACACGTGCAGGAACGCATCCAAACCGTCCGATCGCGAGCACGCAGATTGTCAACGTGGCCTCCCGCGTGGCAATGAGTCAGTGTGCCTTGCCATGCGGCACACTTCGGTTCGTCGGAGTTGCTGACTTAGCCTACGTGGCACAATTTTTTTTTTAATTACGTTTTATCATCAATTTCTAATTTTGTTTAAAAAAATATCATCCGAACTCAAATTTTCATTATTTTTTTAAAATTATTTTTAATTTCATCATCAACTTATTTTTTTTTAATTTTATATTAAATAAAATTTATAAATTTAAAAATTATATTTTTATGTTTTTTTAAAATTTTAAAATCAATCTCGAATTAAATTCTAAATATGGATATTACATATAATGTTATAACTTGAAACACAGCTAAAATATAAACATTTACAATTACAGAGACAACATAAGACTATAGACCCACATATATAGGCATATATATATATATATAGAGACAAGCAGTTTCTATTTTTCTGATTCAACATAATTTATATTGATCGATGAAAAGCTTCGGAAAGAGGGACAGGAAGAAAGCTACTAATGCATCTGATTAGCAAATAGAATTCACTGCTACAGAAGGGCGGGACGGAGTTTCGTCTGAAAAGAGGATGAGGAACATCAAACTTTGTAAGTAAAATAATTTACACGCAGGAAAATATGCTTTCCAGAAGACCACCATTACTGCGAGTACACAACAAATAACTGATGCTCACCAACAAGCTTTTATGTCGGTTTAGCAATAATCTGATTGCGATTCGTAAAAGTCACTAGGACAAGGTGACATAACTTCTTGCTCCAGCAGCTGAAGTACCTGGTTCATTGTTGGCCGCTCATCTGGGTTTGCGTCAGTGCATTTCACAGCTATTTCTAGAACAGCTTCGACTGTCTCTGCCTCTATGTCGGTAAATCTTTTGTCCACTACATCTTCCACTTGATTCTCTCTCAGTAAAGTGTTCATCTGATATAGAGATGAGAGAAATTTGCGTTAGTTATGGTTCGATAAAAGAACATAAGAAAAGACTCAGAATCTTGCATAGCTTACCCAACCAACCACGTTTAAGCCTCTCTTTACAAATGTAGGATCAGTAGGTCTTTTTCCAGTTACAAGCTCGAGTAGGAGAACTCCAAAGCTATATACATCTGATTTTTCAGTGGCTCTCCCACTTTGCAGATACTCTGTTTCAAAATAGCAAATGAAAGTAAGCATCTTTTTTTTTTCTAGAAATATTTAAACTAAGCTTAGCAGTACACAAAGTAAAGATTTTATTTTTAAGTTCAATATCTACTAACTTACTATGTACTTATCTAAGATCTTTCATTTAAAAAGTGAAGACAAATTACACTTTGTTGTTCTCCAAAATATTCATGTGAGTATTAGGAATTAGCATGTTGTCTACAGAATCAACAACCTTATCAACATGGTTATGTCTAAATCCAACATAAAATATAGTAGAATCAAAATTTTCCATGCTATTTTTTGTGTGTTTGCTTTAAACATGCACTTACATTACTAACCTGCAAATATTTTTTCTATTTCCTGGCAAAATGAAGCCCACATCAAAATGAAGACAAAGGATTGACAAAACCCCCACCGGAATAAAAAGAGGAAAAGAATAACGTTGAAAGAAAAAAATGAAAGTCTACACAATTTTAGAAAACGAAATAATTGATTCACATCTTACATACAGGCATAACATCAAGAAGCTTGAACGAACTCTATTTTAACCCAAATCTATTAGCCTTGGAGAAAATGAAAGTTCGAGTAGGCATATAAAAATTAAGATTTTCATGGAAATAATGTTTATAGTTTTCTGGGTAGAACCAGTTAAAAGATTTTGCAATATCAGATTAATGAAGGTTCCCTTTTCAAATGTCACCGCTTCAAGCTGTACAACCCAAGTATAATTTTTATTTAGATAATTTAAGTATTTGTTTTTAATAAGTTAAACAAAAGAACACAAAATATGAAAGAACACATATTACAAAATAACCCATAAATAGTTATTTAGGTAATCATTTTAGTACTAAGCTTATCCTCTATTCTACTTATAAAAAATCCTTAAAAGAACTCTGTAAAGAAGAAACAAGTTGAAAAAGTGATTATGGTGCAATAATCCAGTAAAACATTTGTTCAGAGGATATACTGAGAATTCAAACAATGGATGTTTCGATGACAGAATTTATATTATTTCATAGTCCAGTATATCTATCAGAGACTGCCTAAGGTTTGTGTTAGTGATTAGTTAGGAGCATCGAACACTCTGTGGCTTACTTGTGCCTAAACATACACATCACTAACATAAAATTATGAAAGAGCTCTTGAAGACAAAATTAATGATCAAACTGAGACATTAAAAGAACAAAACAAAGAAATTTACCAGGAGCAAGATAGCCGAAAGTTCCAGCAACCACAGTGGTAACATGGGCATCCTCGTCTACCAGAAGCTTTGCAAGACCAAAGTCAGCGACACGAGGCTCCAAGTTTTCATCAAGCAGAATGTTACTGGATTTTATGTCTCTGTGAACTATTTTTGGACTACAGTCATGATGCAAGTAAGCTAGACCTCTGGCAGACCCAAGAGCTATTTTTAAACGGGCACTCCAATTCAAGGTCCTCTGTTCTTGGACATGATCTGCCAGAGGAGAAAAAACAAATCAAACCAAGGGCTAGATAATTAAACTACAGAAACACATGTTATTTGGAAATGTTAGGGGATGAAGCTGCAGTTTTTATTTCCAGAATGTCAGTCACCAAGAAATCATGCTTATGGTCTTTAAAAATGCAACATAAAAACACTTCTGATCATTTATCCCAATTTGATGCAGCGAAATCCAGCACCGCAATTTATGTCAATGTCAAATATTTTCAAGCCCACATATCAAAATATATATACGCCAAAGAATGAGCATACCATGTAGAAAATCATCCAAGCTTCCCATAGCCATATAATCATAGATGAGAAGCTTTGAGGTCGGTAGCCTACAGTAACCTCTCAGATTTACTAAATTTATATGTTTGATGCTGCCTAATATCTCTAACTCTCTCTCAAACACTTGATCAGATCCTTCACGGCTCCGATCAATCCTTTTAACAGCAAATGTTCCACAATCATTCATAACCATTCTGTAGACAGTACCAAATCCTCCTGAACCAACAACATCCTCCTCATTTAGAGCCTCCAGCTTTTCTATGATCTCACATGATGGGTATGGCAGATCACCATGGAAAGTAATGAGTTTCGTGCCTGATTAAAAAATCAAAGATTTGGTCATACAAGGAGGAACAAAATATTATAAGAACAATCAGTAAAAAGGAAATTGAACACAATATTCAGCCTACTTGTTTCACGCTCAACTTGCTTTTTGACTTCTGTATATCTCCTAGCACCTCTTTCTTTCTTTGATAGGAGCCAAACCCAGAGAAATGCAAAAAGCACAAAAATTGCAAGACCCAAGGTTGACATTGCACCAATGAGCACTCCTTTGATGTAATGAGATGATCTTTTTGTAGGGACTGCATGATTCACAAAGTGAGAATAAATAGAATTAGGATTTATAATTTTATAATTCAGAAAATTTTTCATATATATCATCTCTAGTATAGGTCTTTCTCATTTTTTCGAAATAAAAAGAAAATATTATTATGCACAAGGTACCAAGAAGATACCACCCGAATATAAGATTACATGTCAATCAAGTAGTTTATGACAACACCAAAGTCAAACATATCTTTGATGTCATGACCCAATAAAAGAGGCAAAAGTATGAATCTATCTATCTCTAATTTTTGTAAAGTTAGTTTCTATACTCTCAAAAACTCTCGTATTCCTTTCCTTCCACACCACCCAAAATTAAGTGGAATAAAGAACAAATGATATTTTTTTTTACAAAAGCCCACCCACACCCACAACTCATTACTCACATTAGCAGCCATAACCCAGTTTAACCCTAACAGCCCAAACATAGAGGTCCATATGCTGTATGTCACAGGGCAGAATAATAATAAATAGTTGCACGATTCCTCAGCAGTATGACATAAGTAGCATCTATTAACAAGTACAATCCCCTTCTTTTTTAGCAGTCCAAAGTCAAAATACATTCATTGGCCGCTTCCTACACAAAAAAAAAACCATTCCAGAGGGGACTTTAGACTTCCATATTTGCTTATAAGGAGCTGACATGTTGCGGTTGTTATCCTTCTTAGTTAGACAGCTATACAAAGATTTCACTGAGAACCCTTTCTTCTCATCCAGCTTCCATATTCTTTTATCATTTTTTTTATTCAAATTCATGTCATTCAGGGACAATAGCAGGCTGCTATATACTCATCAATTTCCCAATCTTGCAGTCTTCTCTTCACCTTCACATCCCACACCCTACCCTCCCCCACAACCTCATACTTCTCCTCCACCTTTGCATCCTTATTGCAAGCAATGTCAAAAATTCTTTTGAATCTGTCTTTTTAAACTGAAGTTCCCTATCAATTCATCTTGCCAAAGCCTAGCCCCATCACCCATGCCAACCTTCCAGCCCACACAGCCCTTGATGCAGTGGCTATCATCCCGAATCTTCCTCCAAAGGCTCAGCCCGTGGGGCTTAAATTTACCCCATCTAGCATGCACCATTTTTCACCACTATTTCCCCTCCTCCCCAAGAGATCTCCATAGCCATTTCCCATTGAAAGCCCCGTTTAACTCCACAATTGGTTTTCTTTTATTTTTTTTTTCATAGGGATTCCTATAAATAACTGTTTATTTTCTTCTTAGTACATAATAAAAATCAATAATTTTTTCCACAGCCATTTCCCATGGAAAACCCGGTTTAGCTCCACAATTGGTTTTGTTTTATCTTTTTTTTGTCATAGGGATTTTTATAAATAACTGTGTCTATTTTCTCCTTAGTACATAATAAAAATCAATAATTTTTTCCACCAATATGGTATCTGAGCAAGGTTAGTAAAAATAAAGAACAAGATGTTGGTACTAAAAGCCTATGAGAGAGAAAAACAAGCATTCATATAGGGGTATTTCCCAATGCATCCACCCTAGATCTATTATCTCCTCTGGCAACATTTTTGCCAGTGGCTTGATCTCCACTTTTCATGCACAGCCCATCACCGACTTTTGAATTTCATGCATCACTTTCTCTTGTTTCTAGAAACATTTTAATTGGCTTGAGGTCATCTGTAGCTTCTGTTTAAAGTTTCATAACTCCGTTTACCATTTTGCGGCATGTTTGGTACTGAAATACTGAAAATAGTATGTCCTATGGTCTTCACTTTGCAATTGCTTAAGGTTGTTGAGATGTTTTTCTAATGGGGTTTGGTTTTTATTTTGAAAATTTTGGGTCCCAAACTTTTTGTTCGACTTCAAGTAGCAATATGGATGCTAACATACTCTCGATTATGCAATGCACTGCTATTGGTCAAATTACCATATTGTGTTTGAATGAGAAAAATTATATGCAATGGGCTAAATTAGTAAAGATGTAACTCATAGGTTAGGGTACATATTGACATCTTATTCATTAAGCCCTCTGCCTGCTCCCATAATGATTAGTCCAAATTAACCTTTTGGCACAAGAAGATGGGAAAACTGTATTTCTTATGAAATTCCATGGAAGCTCAAGTCACTAACTTGTGTTCACATATTGAGCCAAATAAAGAAATAAAGGACTATTTCAGTCTCTATTGCCAACAACATGGCTTGCAAATTGAGAACACCATTACCAAATATTTTGCTTGGTTGCAAATACTTTATCTAGAATTCAATGTGATTTAACCTCTAATAACTGAAGTGAAGGCAATGGAAAAGCAACAGAAGCATGATTGTATATGGTAGGACCAAAATCAGAATTGAGCCCATATGCTTCCAAATTTTTGTGAGTGTTTAACTTTTTTTTTGATGAAGTTTATAGCACAAGTGTTGCAGCCTTCTTTTAAGGATACCTCCTTCGAAAGGTGGTAGGCTCACACTCATAAAGAGCACTTTATCTAACCTACCCATCTATTACCTCTTGGTCCTTACCATTCCAGCTAGTGTAGCCAAAAAATTGGAAAGTATTCAATGTCGTTTTCTTTGGGGGTGATTGTGAGAACAGCCGCAAGCTTCACTTGGTCAGCTGGGAAGATATCAAACAGCCTAAAGATAAAGGTGGACTGGGGTTAAGGTTCCTAATGACACTTAACAAAGCATAACACTGTAAATGGATTTAGAAATTCTGGAACAGCACAAATAGCCTTTTGAAAAAATATCATTGACTGCAAATGGTTCAGCAAAGGTCTGCATAATATGATCATATTAAACCGGAACAACTATGGAAGAAGCTTATGGAAGAGTTTCATGCAACATAATCACATTATTCAGTATTCAATGTCGTTTTCTTTGGGGGTGATTGTGAGAACAGCCGCAAGCTTCACTTGGTCAGCTGGGAAGATATCAAACAGCCTAAAGATAAAGGTGGACTGGGGTTAAGGTTCCTAATGACACTTAACAAAGCATAACACTGTAAATGGATTTAGAAATTCTGGAACAGCACAAATAGCCTTTGAAAAAATATCATTGAATGCAAATGGTTCAGCAAAGGTCTGCATAATATGATCATATTAAACCGGAACAACTATGGAAGAAGCTTATGGAAGAGTTTCATGCAACATAATCACATTATTCAGAACTGCTCCACTCAGGTCATCGGTAAGGGTAATAAAATTTGTTTTTGGCAGGATGTGTGGCTGGGAAACAGCAACCTCCAATCCTGTTTCCCCCACAAATTTGCTATCGCCCACAACAAGGATATCCTAGTTGAAAAATTATTTTAGGGTAACACTTCTCTTATGGGTGCTGTGGTTGTCAATTGTAATCTCCAAGATTGGAAAATTGTGGAATACATGGAATTAACTGCAATTACTGCTAATATACAGTTGAATCTCAACGATGACAAACTCACATGGAATTTAAACAAAAATGGCACTTACCCGTTTTCCCCACATATTTGCTATTGCCCACGACAAGGATATCCTAGTTGAAGAATTATTTCAGGGTAACATTTTTCTTCCGGGTGCTGTGGTTGTCAATTGTAATCTCCAAGATTAGAAAATTGTGGAATATATGGAATTAACTACAATTACTACTAGTATATAGTTGAATCTCAACGATGACAAACTCATATGGAATTTAAACAAAAATGGCACTTCTCATTTACTTCTCTTTACAAGCACCGGACGGGCTCCACAAATGGAAATGTATATTTTTCCCAGTAAAATCATATGGAAGTCGCAAGCTCCACCTAGAATCTCCTTCTTCACTTGGGAGGCTGCAAAAGAACGCATCTTGACCATTGACAGTCTCATGAAGAGAGGTTTCCTACTGGTTAATAGATGCCCCTTTTGCAAATCCAACTTGGAAGGCTGCAGGGACCTTCTGTTATGGTGCCCCACCACTTAAAGTCTATGGACTGACCTCTACAGTTTAATGGGTATTCACTGGGTTATAGCAAACTCTATCAAGGCTGAACTTCTCACTTGGGAGGGTCTCACTTTCAAGAACAAGTGCTTCTGACTAATTCCACTCACTATTTTCTGAATTGTTTGGAAAGAAAGAAACAATAAAATTTTTGAGGGTATCAAGAGGAATTTTGTTAATATCAAGGACAAATGGTTACACCTTTTTTGGTTCTATTATGTTAGGACACAACCTTTATAGTTTTAATGATTTTGGGCTCATTGTAGATACTCTTACCGAGCTGTAAATTCTGTGTACTCAGATGGCGCTCCCTTGGCGCCTAATTAATATATGCCTTACACTTGTTCTAAAAAAAACAAAAAAGATACCTGCTTCGAAGATACTAGTAGTGTAGTGCCCCAATCCAAGAACTACTAGCCCAATAACTTGTTCATACTAACCACTGGTCCTCAAATATTGATACTCAAGTTATTAGTAGTATATGACCCAAAACTCCTATTTGGAGCTCCACAGTCACATATCTTTCCAATGTGAAACTGAAGTATCAAAATATCCATTGCTCAAATTCTTGATATCCTCATCAAGACCACACATCATACAATTATAAATTACAATCCAAATGTCCACAAGGTTCAAGATCGTAGTAGCTATAGTCACCAAACTAATAAATTCTCTAATACCATTTACAACGTCATGCCCCAAGCACCACTACCCTAACAGCTTTTCAAACCCAAAATAATGATTAGATTTCAAAATCTTAACATCAAGTTATTAATAGTAGACAGTGACGAGGATTCATGTGCTACATCACCTCTTTTAATTCATTTGATACAGTCTCTAATTTACCCCTTGCCCTCCAAAAAGGTAGATAGGCTTTCAAGCCCAAAATAATGATTAGACTTCAAAATCTTAACCTCAAGTTATTAATAATAGACAGTGACGAGGATTCATGTGCTACATCACCTCTTTTAATTCATTTGATACAGTCTTTAATTTACCCCTTGCCCTCCAAAAAGGTAGATAGCTTTTCAAACCCAAAATAATGATTAGACTTCAAAATCTTAACCTCAAGTTATTAATAATAGACAGTGACGAGGATTCATGTGCTACATCACCTCTTTTAATTCATTTGATACAGTCTTTAATTTACCCCTTGCCCTCCAAAAAGGTAAATGTTCTAGTCCTTATCTTAACTTTATCTCTAATTTGATTTTTACGAACACTTATCTCCATCGTATTGTGCATTTATCACCTTGTATCCTTTGTTGCCATTCTTAAATTTGTGAAGGAAGCCCTTTCTCATGCTAGTTCCAGATAGCCAACGGAAAAATAGAAGTATATAATGAAGGCAAATGATAATTGTGATTGTGTTAGCCTTGCTCTTGGCAATTATATTTTTGGATGTGGTTTTCACTGTTTTGAAACTTTCTCACTTGTTGCCAAAATCACTTTTGTTCTAGTGTCTTATATCTTAGCTGGTTACCCACCATTGGCCTTTCATCAAGAAATTAAAAGTGCATTTTTACATCGTAATTTAGAGAAAAGCATTTACAGGGAGCAACCTCTAAATTTGTTGGTTTTTCCATTGAAGAAGTCTTTGTATGAGTTAAAAATATTCTCCCAAAGTTTAGCAGATATAATTTGAGGAATAGTTGGCACTAGAATGAAACTTGCCTGCGGCTTCTTCGCTTTCAGCATGGGGGAGAACCACAGGGAAACCCAATGAAGTTCGACATGGCTTTTGAATTTGTCGGCCACAAAGATCTAAATTTCCAATAAACCTAAGTCATAAGCCAGGCAGAATTAGAAGGAACACAAGGAAATGGAACAAGTAACAATATCATAGCAGATTTTGGTAATTCTATCATCGTCTGATGCAAAGAACCTCAGAGATGTTGACCACATACAGCACCAAGATGTCATTAACATACATAGTATCCTCAGTGTAGTGCCTTGAAATGATAGTACAAGTTACCAGTATGACGATGAAACAAATATAAAAATAACAGTTATCTTCACCCAAAAACAACGATGACTATGCAATAACTACTCAGGAAAAAATAAAAAAACATTGCATGCATGTGCTAAAATCCCATATGGCAGCCATATGGATATATAACCTTTCACCGCACCACATGCTTGGCTCCCATATGTGCATCAAGTGCATTTAATTCTGTTTTTAACTTGATGAAAACCATGACATATCAGTGCAACATGCATCTACTAAAAGTTTGACATGCAAGCTATGACCAAGCAATAAACACAAATAGTTGGTAGGGAGCAAGAGCACTCACGAGTCTTTGCCAAATTTGCTAAGGACCCCAATATCTGGAATTTCACCAGATAAAAAGTTGGTGGACAAATTTCTGCAACAAGTCCCAAAACGAATAATTAACTCTTCATCTTGGTAAGTTCCAAAAGCAAAAACTCTAAACTAACAATCTCTAGGCCTCTAAGATCATGTTACCAAAATTTTATGTGAACTTCATACTTGAACTAAAAATTTTTATTGGAATACAATAAAAGGCCATCTGATAGGAAATTCTAGATAGCATTATAACAATATATTCTAAATTCCAATAAAGAATACACCGTTCAAATTCTGCTTGAAATTCCCTTCAGACCTAATATTTTTTATCACTTGAAAGAAGATCTTCACAATCTGTAGTTGAAGTAGGTGTATACTTCCAAACGAATTCTAAATATAGCCTAGCTCAATTTGAGTTTTCAACTTACAAGGATTGCAACCGCATAAGGCGGCTCACTGATGAAGGTATAGCACCCTTAAGAGAATTGCTTGATAAATCCCTGAAATTTATAGTCATCAACATTAGAAGAATAATTTAGGAATTAGACACTAGAGATTGCCCATCCAACTAGCTTTAGTGGAAATTTGACTGTTCCAATTAAAATTTTCCCCATAAATTGCAGGATTTTTTTCTCATTCCTATCATTATAAAGCTAACTGATGAAGGTATAGCACCCTTAAGAGAATTGCTTGATAAATCCCTGAAATTTATAGTCATCAACATTAGAAGAATAATTTAGGAATTAGACACTAGAGATTGCCCATCCAACTAGCTTTAGTGGAAATTTGACTGTTCCAATTAAAATTTTCCCCATAAATTGCAGGATTTTTTTCTCATTCCTATCATTATAAAGCTAACTAGTAGTTTCTTTAGAAATACTTCGGATGCACAAAAAGCAAGTAGAAGCACGGGGATCTTACAATATAGTGAGAAGAGAGAGGTTTCCAATATCTGACGGTATGCCACCTTGCAAATAATTCGCCCTCAGGTATCTGAAATAGGAAGCTAATCACATCATCCAAATACACATACAAATCCATCACACACACACACACACCACGTGTATATATATATATATATATATATATATATATATATATATATATCCACATAAATACATATACCCAGAAAAACTGATTTATGTAGAGAGACTGCCACTTTCACTTACAGGGCTCTAAGCTCCGTACAGTTGGTGATTTCATGAGGAATAAACCCATGTAAGCTGTTTTGGTGAAGTGCCCTGTTGCATCCAAATTAGAAAAAACAAATAAGAAATAGAAATATTAAAAACAGTAGCCATGCAAGGACAAAAGAAGAAAAGATGGGTAGGGAACTCACAGTCTCTGTAATCTACTGAGTTTACCGATGCTGGGAGATATAATCCCACCTAATTGCATGTAAGGCAAGTTTCTGGAGAACCCAAAACTAAACATCAGGCCGAAAAGAAGGGGAAGTAGGAGATTCTAATTATGATTAAATGAAGAACAAGAATGACATGGACATACATAGAACGGACTCTGAAATCGTTGGGGTAACAATCAATGCCGGTCCATGAGCAAGGATATTCATCAGTAGCTTGCCAGTTTATTAAAACGTTTTTAGTGTCATTCAACGCACTCTTGATTTCCAGCAATGTGAGCCCTGCAAATCAGAATGTCACTATAACATCCAGATTTCTCAGTTATCTTAGACGAAATGAGAAAAATCATGACTAATATACTATTTTTGAGGTCCCATTCGAAACCAACCGCATTCATTAACTTTCCCTTTCTTTCTACTGTCGAGTTACTTGAAATAAAAGAGTAAAAAAGAAAACCCTAAATATTCGATGAAACCGGGTTTACCATCTTCGGTGAGGGCAGATGAGAAAGAGCTGAAGAGTGTTGCAGCAGAGAAGACCAAAACCAAAAGACCCATCTCCATTTTTCTTCGCAAATGAGCTTTCTGCTTGTTTTCGAAACGGCGGAGGGAGGTTTTTAGCTAGTCCGCCATCATTTTCACTTGAATATTTTACAGTAGACTTTTGAAAAATATGGAGACTCGTGCAAAAACATAAAAGAAGTAGCCGTTGTCCAAAGCAAAATTCAAAAAAGCTTGAGACTCGAGAGTAGATAAACGATTCAAACTCGCTCTCTCTTATTTTCTACACGTTTTAAAAAGTTGATGTTCCACGTGTCAGGAAAACAGAGCGAGTACCATAATTGTATACATCAACAAGGTGGCCATGTAATCATCACGCGTCACTTTTACTTCAAAAAAAAAAAAAAGAGGCCTGTACCTGCATCGGAACCTGTCTGCCACAGAGGGACTTTTCAAGATTTGAGGAATGTGTTTGCAATTTAATAATTTTCCAAATTAAGCAAGTTTATCTAAATTTGTTTTAATTTCTTACCGCCTAAAATTAATTTTTGTTGTTATTAAAGATTTCATAAATTGTCGTTGAATAAAAAATTAAATTAATTAAAAAAACTCCCTAATCTTATTTTATTTTCATAAAAATTTTATAATATTTTAGGAATTTCCATGTTACTACAATATAATTCAAAATTCTGAGAAATTCAAGGAGTTCAAGCTGGTGAAGTTTGAAGCCGATCTGGGTGGAGAGAGTTTGGCGGACATGGTGGTAGATAACATTTAAGTATGGTGAATTCTTTTACTCAAATTTGAATTGATTCAGACTTTATTTATTAATTTCTACACCATACATTTTGCCAGTTTGACAAGTTCATTTCGCTTCACATTCGAGAAGGAAGGTCAGCCATGGCAGCTCTTGTTCGACATTTAGCTTGCAGAGGCTTAGCCTTCTGCAAGGTGAAGCAAACTCCTTCACTCATATCCACCATCTCATCGTCAACCCTCGACCATTCAAAGCACTGAATTAACGAGCCAAGAGTCAACCCTATCACCCTCATAGCCAATCCATCTCCTGGACAACTTCTCCTTCCATACCCAAATGGCATCAGAAAGAACCCATCCT